AATCGATAAAAGGTCTATTGAAATACGCAAGTTGAATTTATGTAGCAATTGTTTCAGGCGATCACACGAGCTGAAAGACTGCAGACATTCCGGTTGTAAAAAATGCGGAAAATATCACAATACATTACTGCATAATCCTAGCGTCAATGCCACCACTATACGACAACAAGCGACCGAGCGAGGGAGCGAGACAACCGCGAGAGTCACGCATGATACCGATGGTGACGTACACGAGGCTCAAGTAAGCGGCGTTGCCACGGTTAGTTTAAATACCGAGATTTTTCACGATACAGGGGAATTGGTTTCGCGCGAGGGAAAAATGGAATCAGAAGACAATGAGACTATGCATGCGATGAGTAGTGTTTATAATAACACATATTATGTTGGTAGTCAGGTTATGCTACCTACGGCTATTGTCAAAGTGGTTGATTCATTTGGTAATTTACGCGAGTGTAGGGCATTATTAGATAGTGGTGCGCAGAGCAACTTTATTAGTGAAAAAATGAGTAAACTTTTGAACTTGGAATTATTTCGAGGGAATTTTTGCATATCAGGGATAGGCAATGGCATTTCAAAGATAAAAAATAAAACAAGTGTTAAGTTGTTTTCGTGCGATGAGACTTTTAGTATGACGATCGAATGTTTAATTATGCAAAAAATAACAGATAATTTACCTACAATTTCTTTTGACAAAACTGAGCTAGAGATACCTAGGGAAATAAAATTAGCCGATCCTAATTTTAACGTAAAAGGAGAAATTGACTTGTTAATTGGGTCCTCCGTGTTTTGGGATCTTTTATGCGAGGGAAAATTACATGTGAAAAAATCGAGAATTATTATACAAGAGACCCGTTTAGGTTGGGTAGTAGGCGGTGTTATGGAATTGTCTAGGTTTACACCAGAAATTAATAATACGGTGGTAGGTTTGTCTTTGGATAAAATGATCACAAGATTCTGGGAAATCGAAGAGATAGGTTTAGAGAAAGTTTTGAGTGAAAGTGATAGATATTGCGAAGATCATTTTACTAAGAATTTTCAAAGAACTCAAGAGGGAAATTTTGTTGTTTCCATACCGTTTAAAGAGAGTATTAAGAAATTAGGAGATTCTAGGGAGAGGGCTTTGCAATATTTTTATTCACAGGAAGTTAGGTTAGAAAAGAAGCCAGAGTTAAAAAGGGAATATATTAAGTTCATGAATGAATATTTAAGCATGGGTCACATGATTGAAGTGAAAGAAGGTGAATTTGATAATACTGTTTCATATTTTTTGCCGCATCATGCTGTGGTACGTGACGACAGTGTGACCACTAAGGTGCGTGTGGTATTCAACGCTTCAATGAAAACTAAGTCAGGTCTTTCACTTAATGATATTCAATATTGTGGTCCTACTCTTCAAGACGAGTTATTAGCAATTATATTAAGATTTAGGAAGTATGAATATGTTATGACCGCGGACGTATCCAAAATGTATCGTATGATTTTAGTGAATGAGAATGATAGAAGTTTGCAGCAAATTTTCTGGAGGCCTGATGCATCTGAAGAAGTCAAGATTTATAAACTTAATACAGTGACGTACGGTACGGCGTCTGCTCCCTATCTTGCGGTGCGTTGTTTGTGGCAATTAGCCAAAGAAAACTCAACAAACTATCCAGAGGCAAGTGATTCTATTCTTAAGTCATTTTACATGGATGATTACATAGAGGGCGCTAATAGCGAAATGGAATTACTAAAATTACAATGTGAGGTATCTAATATTTTGGCAGGGGCTGGATTTGAATTACGAAAGTGGCTCTGTAACAAGAAAGATCTATGTGAAAAATTTAGAATAAACGAAGAGATTGATTCAAAAATAATGACATTTGGGGAAAATGAGTCAAGTAAAACTTTAGGTGTTGTTTGGAATGCTTGCTTAGATAACATTCAATTTTCAGTCAATATTAGAGAATATAATGTAATAAATAAGCGTAGTATTTTATCAATGATTTCGCAGATTTACGATCCGTTAGGTCTTGTAAGTCCGATTATTATAGTGGGTAAGCTATTAATGCAAAAACTATGGGAGGCAAAGATAGGATGGGAAGATGAAATACCTAGTTCTATTAAGTCAGATTGGTTGACATTTAAAAATAATTTAACTTACCTGAATGATTTAGAAATCCCTAGAAGAGCAATGTATTTGAATTATGATATTATAGAGCTGCATGGATTCAGTGATGCGAGTCAAAAGGCGTATGGTTGTTGTATTTTCATAAGGAGTATTAATAAAAAAGGCGAATGTATTTCTAATTTACTTTGTTCAAAGTCGAGAGTGGCTCCAATTAGGCAGGTAACACTGCCGAGACTTGAGCTGTGTGCTGCGTTGTTGCTTGCAAAATTGGCACAAAAGGTTATTCAACATTTAAATATTAAATTTAATAAAATTTGCTTGTGGTCAGATTCACAGATAACTTTATACTGGATACAAGGGCCTTCGAATAAGTGGAAAACCTTCGTGGCGAATCGCGTGAGTGAGATACAACAACTTACCGATGCTACGAATTGGTATTATGTGAAGTCAGCTGACAATCCCGCTGATTTGATTACGCGTGGAACGGCTGCTACTGAATTATTAAATAATAAATTTTGGTGGTCAGGGCCAGAATGGCTTTTAAATCCAAGTTTTGAGCCAACAAGTTTTCAAGGTAAGGATGATTTTAATTTTCCAAACGAGTTACCCGAACAAAAAATTATTGTAAATTTAACAATTGAACACTTTGATATAATTTCAAGGTTTTCTAAGTTTTCCAAGTTAAAAAGAGTTTTTGCATATTGTTTACGTTTTTTGTGGAATGTTCAGTGTAAGAAAAAGAATTTAATTAAAAGAAGCGGTACATTGTCTATAGAAGAGTTAGATCATTCTGTTAATGAGTTAGTTAAAATAGTACAAAAAGAATCATTTACAACAGAGTATCAAAGAATGCAAGAAAACTTACCTATAAGTAGAAAAAGTACATTGTTATCGTTGAATCCTTTAATGCATAATGGAATAATAAGGGTAGGAGGTAGATTGCAGAAATCAAACCATGAATTTGACAAAAAACATCCGATTATATTACCTAAAAATAACTTACTAACTACACTTATACTTACAGAAGAACACAGGCGTCTTATGCATGCAGGACATACACTTCTTTTATCGTCAGTTCGAGACAAATTTTGGCCAATTTCGGGCAGAAATCAAGTAAAAAAGGTTATAAGAAATTGTGTTACATGCTGCAGGTTAAATCCTAAATTTAATACTTACCTTATGGGCGATTTACCTGAGAATAGGGTCAATCAATACTTACCTTTTTATAACACTGGTTGTGACTTTGCCGGACCTTTCTTGCTTAAAGACCGAATGACTCGAAAGCCAAATTTAATTAGGGGCTATGTATGCATATTCGTATGTCTTCAACAAAAGCTATGCATCTTGAGGTTTTAACTGATCTTACTACTTCTTGTTTTTAGCGACTTTCAAACGTTTTATCGGTCGACGCGGGAAACCTTTAAATATTTACACAGACAATGGCAAGACATTCGTGGGAGCAAATCGTGAGCTAAAGGAACTATTTAATTTCATTAATAATCAATATCAACAGGAAGATGTCAAATTTTATTTTACAGAACAAAAAATATGTTGGCATTTCATTCCTGCTCGTGCACCGAATTTTGGCGGGATCTGGGGAAGCAGGGGTTAGAGTTTAAAATTTCATTTGAAACGCGTTGTCGGTGAGGCTCACTTATCTTATGAGGACTTCGCGACGGTTCTCATTCAGATCGAGGCAATACTCAATTCACGTCCCTATTTGTCCAATTTCACCCTCCCCAGATCAACTTAATCCCCTAACTCCAGCTCATTTTCTTGTTGGGAGAAGTCTAGTATCACTCCCAGAAAAGTCTTACATTGAAACCTCAGAAAATCGCCTAACAAGGTTCCAGAGACTTCAGTATATCGTCCAACACTTCTGGAAGCGATGGCACCAAGAATACCTCCATGAACTGCAATCCCGGAGTAAATGGAAACACGGTGATCCCTGTCCTATTAAAGTAGGATCCATGGTGCTTGTGAGCGAAGCCAACAGTCCTCCTTTGCAATGGCCTATGGGGTGCGTGCAGGAGTTACATCCAGGGTAGACGGTGTAGGAGAGTGGTGTCGGTAAAGTTTAAGAATGGTGTCTATAAAAGGCCTGTTACAAAATTGTGCCTATTACCTTGTGACAGCAGCGAACCAACTAAACTGTAAACCCTAAATTGAGAATCTTTATGGCGTAAAAAGCTAATTTGTAACAATTAAGAATTTGGTTGTTAATTTGGTAGTTTGTAAGCAAGAAAATGTTATTAAGTTAAGCTGTTAATTTTGAAATTATATTTCAAGGCGGCCGGAATGTTACGTTAAAAATGTCTTATTGTAAAAATTTAAAATTTGGATATTTGGCAACGTTGCGCCACCTGTAGGAATACTTCCTTCTTGTCATGGCTGCCGGCAACTGAACACTGTTTATATTTTATTCACAACAATAAGTTATTTTTCAAGAATTAAACAAGTTGAAAAGCTCGCGAGTGTTTTATTCAAAGAGACAAGCTAGTAGAGAATCAGTGCAACAGATCTCTTGAAACGAATTCTGGGTTAGGATAAAAAATGCTTAAAGCATAAAAAAAGTAAAATACCACTGACAAATTGGTTTCCGTTTGGATTCAACGAAGGCGGTGTTTACCAAAAATTATATTTTTTTATTTTGTAGATTTTCTTCTAGCGGCCCAAAAAGTCACGAAATATTTTTTTTTAAGAAATATAACTAATATAAAAATATGCTTGAATCATCTTTTGTGAGCAATATTTTTAGTATTAATGTTTTATCAGCATATTTTATAAAAAGGAGTGGAATTCTTAAATAGAAAACCTGATATAGAGCTTTTTGGATCACTAGACCAACTTGTATAATATTTAATAAATAATATTAGTCAATCACTTGTTTCAGCTCGGGGAGGTAAAGAAGCAGATATAGCGAAATGTTATTATGGTCCGGTAATAGAAAACTTTGAATGCGAGAAGAGTATCTATATTGCTGTAGAAGTAACCGCCGGAAATAGGTTATTCCATCACGTTATCGACAATGACAAAGTGGGAACGATGATTCTTAAAGAAATGAATCGGCAGACGTTGCCGGGCGAAGTTACTTTTATGCCCTTGAACAGGTTGAACGTGAGAGAACAAAATTATCCAAATGACGCGGTAATTTTTTATTTGTTTAATATTTTTTAGTTTGGTTTGGTTTTCAGCCGCCGCTGAATTCAAGTCTTGATAATACATCTTTTTTAACTGGCATTGTCCTTAATTTTGATATAGTATACAATATTTCAGTCAGATTATCACTGAAAGCAGCTGGTAGATGCACCCTTTAAGCTCTTTCCTGACTCGTTAGAGAAACTATAGGCTTCTTCATTAGTCTTTTTATTTATTAGTTTTGTCAAACCTTATTAGGTCAAGTCACTTCCCGCATCCTTAGGTTAGGTTAGGTTGCTGGGGTTTGGGATCATGTTTGATCTTTCACTCGGAGGCCTTGGGCCCATTGCGATACTCCCTGTTATTGACGTACCAAACCTTCCTCTCATTCTTTCTTTGCGTTAAAGCACTCCCAGCTCTTTGCAAAGTTCCCGATGTCGCAGATATTGGCTTTTGCTGCTTCCTCTAGTCCATTCAAAAAACCTTGCCCTAATGTTTTAAAGCGTCAGTATTCCAGTGCCGGCACAAATAGAGGGTCATCTGTCACGGCCTCTCCCCTGGCCCCCTCTTTGGCGAGTCTGTCTGCTTCTTGGTTGTCCAGCACAATTCCTTTATAGCGTAACCTCTGCTTGTAGAACATTACAGCCATCCGCTAGCCTTAAAGATCATCGAATGTCTAGTTCCTCTGAGAAGATACCTATACCTGTGCTTGAAGTTCGGAAGCATCTGTATAGACTGCTATCTCTTAAGTGTTAATTACTCGGTTGCTTTCCAATTCTTCTCTTGTTGGGATGCGAATCCTTATCTTTTCTTCAAAATCATGTTTGGTGAGCATATAGTCCGTTTTCTGGTCTAGGAGTTGTGGACTCGTGTTCGCCATGATTTTTCCTATCTCTGGCAATATCCTCGAGTGACTGTAGTTAGTCTGGTTCCACAGATTGGATTCCCTTAATCTTGGGGTACTCTTAGCGGCCTCACAAGCCAGTCGATTGTATGCAAGTCCAGAATTACTTCTAGCGCAGCTTGCGCTGTGTTGTTCCTTGCTCCAGTTGTACCTAGAGCTGCTAATCGCTGTACTTTTGTGAGGCTTTTTCTATTAGTCTCTTTAAGTACCTGTTCCCACTATACTAGTGTTCCATAAATGATGATTGGTCTAACTGCAGCAGTGTACATCCATTGTATAATGTACGGTTACAGACCCCATCTATCCAAACAGTTTCTTACATGCATAGAATGAATTTATGTCCCTTTAACATCCTTTCCTCTGCGTTCCTTTCCCAGGAAAGCTTCGAGTCCAGAATGATTCCTATATTTTCTTTCCTTAGCAAGCACAAGTGTTTTCCCTTCCAGCTTTGGTAGCGTGAACTTGGGTATCTTGTATTTTCTTGTAAACAGAATGAGTTCAATTTTGTCTGGGTTGATGCCCAAACCATATCTTACCGTGCAAAAACATACATTATGGCATGACCAAATAAATGATCAGCAAAAGTGTATTGTATTGTTTACCAGATAAACATGTTTTACGGGAAATAACACAACATTTTTAAAAACTGTTAAAGTCAAAATCTACTTGGTCATAAAACATTTTACTCATATAGTATATGTTTTCTAGGACGCCATTGCAATGGTTTCTAAGCTAGACTATGACCCAAAATATGACAAGGCAATGAGATATTTATTCGGAAAAACATTGATATGTCGACACTTGGATGCCGCTACTAAATTAGCACGAATTACTGGTTTGGATTGTGTAACTTTGGATGGTTAATATTTTAACAGGAATCCGTATTCTCAAAATAGGCGTAATCTTTAATTTTTAGGTGACCAAGTTTCTTCTAAAGGATCTCTAACCGGCGGATATTTTAATACATCCAGGTCACGTCTGGAAATGCAAAAGAACAGAACAGAAACGATCGCACAAATTCAACAGTGTGAAGAGGAGCTGAAAAAATTGAAAAGTGAATTGACTGAGACTGAGGCTTCTATCAACACTATTGTATCGGATATGCAGAAAATTGAAACTAAAAATAGCAAAGCAAAGGGCATATTTGATAAAGTAAAAGGTAGGCAGTTTATGATTACGATAGTGTTGGGAAAAATCGGATAATTTCAATCCTCGAGGATTCCAATAATCGAATGATCATCCGAGAAATTCTCGGTCATAAGATTTTCTCTCTATAATATCTCGATCGAAACCTGAATAATCCTCGGCGCTGGGTGTGAGTGATTTTGCTTGCTGTTTTTAACACACTGTTGCTATGTACTTGGATGACTTGAGAATAATATTGTAATAAAAATAAATAATTATTTTAAACATTTTTTAATATTTAATATTTTCGTGTATAATTTCATGTGGAAAATAAAATTTCCATAGGTTTTGCTTTAAACTGTGCTGATTTTGTTTCTTTAACTCCGACTTTGAGACTAATCTGGCATCCTTTCAGGCCAAATGAAACCAAGTAATTCTAGGAAATACGGGCGGCTTTTTTAAAAGGGCTCGTTATTA